TTCTCTCTATACACCAAGTCACTCGGCTCCGTCATATCCTCACATGGTCTCTCCTATCATTGCTATGCGGATGACACTCAACTACTTTTCTCCTTCCCCCTTCTGACACCCAGGTGGCGACACGCAACTCTGCGTGCATGGTAGATATCTCAACTTGGATGTCGGTCCACCACCTCAAGCTCAACCTCGACAAGATGGAACTGTTCTTCCTCCCGGGAAAGGCCTGCCTGCTCAAAGACCTCTCCATCACGGTTGACAACTCCACAGTGTCACCCTCCCAGAGTACACAGAACCTTGGCATGACCCTGGACAACACCCTGTCGTTCTCTGCAAACATCTAAGCAGTGACCCGCTCCTGCAGGTTAACGCTGTACAACATCCGTTGAGTACAATCCTACCTCAAACAGGAAGCGGCGCAGGTCCTAATCCAGGCACTTGTCCTCTCCCGTCTGGACTACTGCAACTCGCTGTTGGCTGGGCTTCCCGCTTGTGCCATCAAAACCATAACAATTAATCATGTTATGGGTATGCTTGTAATCTGTAAGGACTGGTTTTTCAGGATTTAAAAAACCTGGAATGGAGCTAAGCATAGGCAAAATCCTAGAGGAAAACCTGGTTCAGTCTACTTTCCACCAGACACTGGGAGATGAACTCACCTTTCAGCAGGGCAATAAACTAAAACACAAGGACAAATCTACACTGAAGTTGCTTACCAAGAAGACAGTGAATGTTCCTCAGTGGCCGAGTTACAGTTTTGACTTAAATCTGCTTGAAAATCTATGGCAAGACCTGAAAATTGTTGTCTAGCAATGATCAACAAACAATTTGACAGAGCTTGAAGAATTTTGAAAAGAATAATGGGAAAATGTTGCACAATCCAGGTGTGGAAAGCTCTTAGAGACTTATCCAGAAAGACTCACAGCTGTAATCACCAAAGGTGCCAAAGGTGCTTCTACAAATTATTGATTCAGGGGTGTGAATACTTACAGTGGGGAGAACAAGTATTTCATACACTACCGATTTTGCAGGTTTTCCTACTTACAAAGCATGTAGAGGTCTGTAATTTTTATCATAGGTACACTTCAACTGTGAGAGACAGAATCTAAAACAAAAATCCAGAAAATCACATTGTATGATTTTTAAGTAATTAATTTGCATTTTATTGCATGACATTAGTATTTGATACATCAGAAAAGCAGAACTTAATATTTGGTACAGAAACCTTTGTTTGCAATTACAGAGATCATACGTTTCCTGTAGGTCTTGACCAGGTTTGCACACACTGCAGCAGGGATTTTGGCCCACTCCTCCATACAGACCTTCTCCAGATCCTTCAGGTTTCGGGGCTGTCGCTGGGCAATACGGAATTTCAGCTCCCTCCAAAGATTTTCTATTGGGTTCAGGTCTGGAGACTGGCTAGGCCACTCCAGGACCTTGAGATGCTTCTTAGGGAGCCACTCCTTAGTTGCCCTGGCTGTGTGTTTCGGGTCGTTGTCATGCTGGAAGACCCAGCCACGACCCATCTTCAATGCTCTTACTGAGGGAAGGAGGTTGTTGGCCAAGATCTCGCGATACATGGCCCCATCCATCCTCCCCTCAATACGGTGCAGTCGTCCTGTCCCCTTTGCAGAAAAGCATCCCCAAAGAATGATGTTTCCACCTCCATGCTTCACGGTTGGGATGGTGTTCTTGGGGTTGTACTCATCCTTCTTCTTCCTCCAAACACGGCGAGTGGAGTTTAGACCAAAAAGCTATATTTTTGTCTCATCAGACCACATGACCTTCTCCCATTCCTCCTCTGGATCATCCAGATGGTCATTGGCAAACTTCAGACGGGCCTGGACATGCGCTGGCTTGAGCAGGGGGACCTTGCGTGCGCTGCAGGATTTTAATCCATGACGGCGTAGTGTGTTACTAATGGTTTTCTTTGAGACTGTGGTCCCAGCTCTCTTCAGGTCATTGACCAGGTCCTGCCGTGTAGTTCTGGGCTGATCCCTCACCTTCCTCATGATCATTGATGCCCCACGAGGTGAGATCTTGCATGGAGCCCCAGTCCGAGGCTGATTGACCGTCATCTTGAACTTCTTCCATTTTCTAATAATTGCGCCAACAGTTGTTGCCTTCTCACCAAGCTGCTTGCCTATTGTCCTGTAGCCCATCCCAGCCTTGTGCAGGTCTACAATTTTATCCCTGATGTCCTTACACAGCTCTCTGGTCTTGGCCATTGTGGAGAGGTTGGAGTCTGTTTGATTGAGTGTGTGGACAGGTGTCTTTTATACAGGTAACGAGTTCAAACAGGTGCAGTTAATACAGGTAATGAGTGGAGAACAGGAGGGCTTCTTAATGAAAAACGAACAGGTCTGTGAGAGCCGGAATTCTTACTGGTTAGTAGGTGATCAAATACTTATGTCATGCAATAAAATGCAAATTAATTACTTAAAAATCATACAATGTGTTTTTCTGGATTTTTGTTTTAGATTCCGTCTCTCACAGTTGAAGTGTACCTATGATAAAAAATTACAGACCTCTACATGCTTTGTAAGTAGGAAAACCTGCAAAATCGGCAGTGTATCAAATACTTGTTCTCCCCACTGTATGTAAATGATATATTTCTGTATTTCATTTTCAATCAATTTAAAAAATATTCCAAAAACATGTTTTCACTTAGTCATTATGGGGTATTGTGTGTAGATGGCTGAGAAAAAATTATAATTGTATCCATTTTGAATTCAGGCTGTAACACAACAAAATGTGGAATAAGTCAAGGGGTATGAAGATATGTGAAGGCACTGTATCATTAATTTATATGTCCAAAAATGGATATAGCAACTAAGGATTCCAGCTTTAATCCAAAACCCTTGATTTTACAGTAGTCAGTGCTCTTAGAACTTAGCTGTTACTCTATTTAATTAGATCCGCTTTAGCCGACATCCGCATAGCGGTTGTTTAGGCGGTGTCGGAGGTGGAACAGCATTAGAGCTGTCAAATCCACAAGCAGATCCTGGCATTATACCTAAAGTGGACATTTCCATTGGCTGCACAGAGTCGCATTAAGAGAATTCCCATGTAGCCTTGTTTACAAGTTCGAACACTGGAATTCTCGATTATGCTGATAGAAATCTTCATTATTTTGTTTAATGATTTTCAATTTGAGTGTCATTATTTCTATATAGCCTACACTTTCTCGTTCTGAACTTCTAATGTGAGTGGGACACGTGTGGCTTCGTAACAATGATCAAGAGCAGCTGCTCACCGATTTGACAGCTCCAACGCAGTTACACGTCCGACCCTGCCAAAACATCAGCTATGCGGGAGTCGGCCATTGCAGGTTAACGCTTGATCTGATTGAATCTAGGCCTTGATTTTATAATCCCAAAGTTTTTTCTTTTGGATTAAACCAATAAACGACACCTCTGAAAAAGAAAAGCTGCATTTGAAAACACATTGAGAGCAATGCATTGAGCTGACTATAGTTCAATGAGCTAGTTACACTATAGTTGTCACCCTTGTGCCAGGGTTAGATGTTGTAATGACAATGAGTTACAGACTCAGCCTTTTGACAGATGGGTTAATAGTATCATTGAGGGTTTTGATAGGAAGTGTTTCAACATCTTGACTTAGTGTCTTAGAGCCCACATCAATATGCAAATGCATTGTAACTCACACACCCCAAAAAAAAAAAAATAATTCTAATTTAAATGATAGGGTTCAATGAGTTGATTAGTTTTCTGTTGTCTTTGTGTGAAATTCTTTATATTCTGTCATCAGCCAAACACAATGGCAGACAGCCAGAGAGTCGCACCATATTTATTTTCTAATTAGTCTGTGTTTGTTTTGTTACACAACTATGCCACTAATCTACATAAACAGATGCCAGTGCTGCCGTCTGTCTGTGCATGGATCCAGCTTTTAGATTCATTAATATGACCAATTGTTTGTTTGTCTATCTTCAAATTCCTTTCTGGCTATTATCTTCCCAATGTGTTGACTTGTTGTTTGCAGTAACAGACTGAACATTAAGCATGCGATTAAAAATGATAATTTGGGAAAATATCTTGAATTCATGTGTCTGTATTCTATTCTCAAGCGGTACACTCTCCCCTTATAAACATGGGAAAGCTACTAGACCAAATTAGACCAAAGCTATTAGACCAGCCACAATTTGTACAAGATATGGTACACAGTGCTACGAAAGGGCTGTTTACCCAGTACAATGTCACTTTACATCTCTCAGAGAAATGGAAGGCACTTACAAACTGCTACAAAAAAAAAGCCTGCATAAGACCGAACACCTCAGTTTCACTACCCACTGAATACCACAAACAAGATATGAGTCATCATTCAACCAGTAATGAAAAACCTGACAATAGAGTTAAACTTAGGAAATGTAATTAACAAAAGTCCAATACAACAACCAGAATACATTGTTGGATGGCATGTTTTCTGTTTAACCGCCCTCTATCAGTAAAACTGATATGAAACATTACAAAACAAATCCCAAACAATTTCAAACGACCGAAAGATTCCATTACAAGCTAAAGGCCTCACAGTCTACAATGCTTGATTGAATTGTTTGTGTAGACAGGCACTTGCTCCATACTCACAATGCCTGCAGTAAAAAGGGGAATGTGTCACTTTCAGCAGGAGCTGTAATGTTCAGCAATGTCTTCATCCCAGTGAAACTGACAGTTCACACTAAAGTCTAACTCAATGTTACTCCACAACTCTCTGCAGCCATTCACAGTGGATTGGACATGTCAAGTGCATCAAACAATTACCCATTGGTGTGTTCATACAGTCACTTACCCTCTGAGCCACTCTTCTGGAAATGTTTTGTAGCTGACAGAATTCTTCAACACATCTAAAAACTTTCACCCAACCATGCCAATGAGTTGACTGGACAACTCCCCTTGGAGTGGTGGCAGAGATTGCACCTTCCCCCTTCATTTGTTGTCATGTCCTTTCGGGCTTTAGTGTGGATGAGCTGGTGATCATCTGGGTTAGTAGTTGTGTGGCAGGCCGTTGTAGTTCCTGTCCCTCAGGGCCTGGTCCACCGTGTGGATGTAGGAATCGATGGTGCTCCTCATCTCCGCTGTGAAGGGGTCGAAGGAGGGCCGCTGGGCCCCCCCAGAGCGTTTGAAATGGCCGTCCTGGTTGTTCTGGGCACACATCAGCCTCTCCTCCATCACGGTGGCGTTGAGGAACAAGGTGAGGAGCCGGAGCTGGGGGAAGAGCGCCCTCTGCAGGTCCTCGTAGTGTAACACCAGCAGGCGACGGCCAAACTGCAGCCAGCTCAGAGCGTGGGACGCCCACCAGGAGGCGTAGCTGTCAACAAACTCTGGCCATTCTGAAGTAAACAGAGGAGAGGGGGAAAAGAGGTACACTATATATACAAAAGTATGTGGACACCCAAATTAGTGGATTCGGCTATGTCAGCCACAACCGTTGCTGACAGGTGCATAAAATTGAGCACACAGCCATGCAATCTCCATAGACAAACATTGGCAGTAGAATGGCCTTACTAAAGAGCTTAGTGACTTTCAACGTGACACTGTCATAGGATGCCACCTTTCCAACAAGTCAGTTCATCACATTTCTGCCCTGCTAGAGCTGCCCGGTTACCTGTATGTGCTGTTATTGGAAACTTCTAGGAGCAACAATGGCTCAGCCACGAAATGTTAGGCTACACAAGCTCACAGAACGGAACCGCGGAGTGCTGAAGCGTGTAGCACGTAAAAATCGTCTGTCCTCGGGTGCAACACTCACTACCGAGTTCCAAACTGCCTCTGGAAGCAACGTCAGCACACAAAATGTTCATCGGTAGCTTCATGAAATCGGTTTCCATGGCCGAGCAGCCGCACACAAGCCTAAGATCACCATGCGCAATGCCAACCGTCGGCTGGAGTGTTGTAAAGCTCGCCGCCATTGAACTCTGGAGCAGTGGAAACGCGTTCTCTGGAGTGATAAATCACGTTTTACCATCTGGCAGTCCGATGGATGAATCTGGGTTTGACGGATGCCAGGAGAACGCTACCTGTCCCAACTGTAAAGTTTGGTGGAGGAGGAATAGTGGTCTGGGGCTGTTTTTCATGATTTGGACTAGGCCCCTTAGTTCCAGTGAAGGGAAATCTTAACACTACAGCATACAATGGCATTCTAGATGATTTTGTGCTGCCAACTTTGTGGCAACAGTTTGGGGAAGGCCCTTTCCTGTTTCAGCATGGCAATGCCCCCATGCACAAAGCGAGGTCCATACAGAAATGTTTTGTCGAGATCGATGTGGAAGAACTGGCCTGCACAGAGCCCGACTGCGAGCCAGACCTAATCGCCCAACATCAGTGCTCGACCTCACTAATGCTCTTGTGGCTGAATGGAAGCAAGTCCCCGCAACAATAGTGGAAAGCCTTCACAGAAGAGTGGAGGCTCTTATAGCAGCAAAGTGGGGACCAACTCCATATTAATTCCCATGACTTTGGAATGAGATGTTTGATGAGAAGGTGTCCATATACTTTTGGTAATGTAGTGTATCTTATCAGTGTGTGCTGTGTCGAGACAATGCTGACATCTCACGTTCAGAGTCTATGCAGTGAGGTATGGCAGCTGACGTGAACATTTGTCACCATTCATGAACATCTGTTTGAAACAGATTTTTGTTCAAGGCAAACAGTTGACCAAAACCCAACAATCTCTTTGTGTTGTTTTTTTGCATGCCTTAATGGTTTTTGCATGCCTTAGTTGCCACATAACCCCCAGTCCATTTCCCTAACTACTGAGCTGTACTTGTTGTGTGGTGTTACCTTTGCTCCTCCACTGTGCGTCTGTGGCATGGCCCAGGTGTCCAGCACACTTCCGGTTGAACTCTGCCATGAGGGAATGGTAGGGGTTACGGATCAGAAGGATGGCAGAGTCAAACATCTCTATCTCTCTCTGCCCACTCTCATGAGTCTTCACACAGATGCTGCGCCCACTCTTCCAGTAGTCCTTCTCCCCTTTGAAACCTGGTAGATAACCCCAGATACCCAAGATGATCAAACCTCCGCAAACTCATGCGTCACAGAGCATTCAAGCTCAAGATCAAGCTTCTGTTATTGTTATTTGTAAGTACTGTACAAGTGCATACATTGGAAATTCTCTATGAGAGCTCCAAGGTCAAATTTATTTTAGTGCGTACTTGAAAAACATACAATGATACATTTCAGTAGGAAACATCAAGCATTCCCAGTATGTGCTATTATCCATCAAAACACCTGAGCTGTGTTCAAAGCCTCACCTCTGTTGTAAAGCGCGCCATCGAAGTAGAAGCTGCCAGTGTAGTAGCCCGTCACTAGCTCGATCAGGTGGCGTACCCAGGTGTTTCCAGCTCCGGGGAAGCTGGAGAGAGCCACCAGGGAGGTGGACCTCTCAGGCAGAAATGTCCTCTCTTTGCACCTAGAGTCTGAATGAGGCAGAACCATCATGGTTGAACATCGCCATAAAAACACGCCATTGATCTATCCCTAAAATACTGTATTGTAGCATGCTGTTGCTAAGAGTTTAATTACAGTTGCAGTGAAGTAAAAAGTCCATATATTTTTTATGGTTGAAAACTTGGACTGTAGTATTGGTGAAACTAAAGGTTATTCATGGCTCTCACCAAGTACAGGTGTCTGGTAGACCTGGTAGTAGTCTTGGTCAGTCGGGGATGTGGAGATGGAGGCATCAGTGTGTTCTGTGCCATTAGTCTCCAGACATGGCTGGTCCAGTGGCAAACGTTGACTCAGTCTAAACAGAGACGAGACCCAGGCACAGTAACAGTGTGGCTTCCTCAACACAGCCAGTGGGAGCTCCTGCAGCAGAAACCAAACTAGGATCATTAAAAAACTTCAGAGGCATAACTTCAAGCAGTAATTTACAGTGGAAGGAATATGACTGGTCTCTCATTCCCCCACTGGTGTATTGGATGTGATTTTACCCTTGGGTGCCATGATGGGTGGGTTATATAAGATGTCTGAACCACTTCTGCTCCGTTTTCTTTGATTCCTTTTTTTCTAAAGTTCAGATGTTTTTTCACAAGTTGTCCTAGTTTTTCCTATTCAATATAGTATAGCCCCAGTATAGCCCCCACCACCTCCACACAATATGAAATTACAATTTCTATAGATACAATTATTTTTGTTTATTGACACTGGGAGATACGCTAATGTAAAAACACACACAGCACAAAAGTACACACACACACACACACACACAGAGTGAATAGGCTAAATCAAATACACTATTTTCATCACATAGACAAGTCTGTTATATTTTTCCCTGCCATTTGTGTGTAGAGCAGAGCAGAGCAGAGGACCACCTTAACCAACATCCTAGACCCACTACAATTCTCATATCGCCCCAACCGATCGACGGATGACGCAATCACCATTGCACTGCACACTGCCCTATTCCACCTGGACAAGATAAATACCTACAGTGAGGGAAAAAAGTATTTGATCCCCTGCTGATTTTGTACGTTTGCCCACTGACAAAGACATGATCAGTCTATAATTTTAATGGTAGGTTTATTTGAACAGTGAGAGACAGAATAACAACAACAAAATCCAGAAAAACGCATGTCAAAAATGTTATAAATTGATTTGCATTTTAATGAGGGAAATAAGTTTTTGACCCCTCTGCAAAATATGACTTAGTACTTGGTGGCAAAACCCTTGTTGGCAATCACAGAGGTCAGACGTTTCTTGTAGTTGGCCACCAGGTTTGCACACATCTCAGGAGGGATTTTGTTCCACTCCTCTTTGCAGATCTTCTCCAAGTCATTAAGGTTTCGAGGATGACGTTTGGCAACTCGAACCTTCAGCTCCCTCCACAGATTTTCTATGGGATTAAGGTCTGGAGACTGGCTAGGCCACTCCAGGACCTTAATGTGCTTCTCCTTGAGCCACTCCTTTGTTGCCTTGGCCATGTGTTTTGGGTCATTGTCATGCTGGAATACCCATCCACAACCCATTTTCAATGCCCTGGCTGAGGGAAGGAGGTTCTCACCCAAGATTTGACGGTACATGGCCGCGTCTATCGTCCCTTTGATGCGGTGATGTTGTCCTGTCCCCTTAGCAGAAACCCCCCCCCCAAAGCATAATGTTTCCACCTCCATGTTTGACGGTGGGGATGGTGTTCTTGGGGTCATAGGCAGCATTCCTCCTCCTCCAAACACGGCGAGTTGAGTTGATGCCAAAGAGCTCGATTTTGGTCTCATCTGACCACAACACTTTCACCCAGTTCTCCTCTGAATCATTCAGATGTTCATAGGCAAACTTTAGACGGCCCTGTATATGTGCTTTCTTGAGCAGGGGGACCTTAAGAGTGTGCTCCTAATCTCAGCTCGTTACCTGTATAAAAGACACCTGGGAGCCAGACATCTTTCTGATTGAGAGGGGGTCAAATACTTATTTCCCTCATTAAAATGCAAATCAATTTATAACATTTTTGACATGTGTTTTTCTGGATATTTTTGTTGTTAATCTGTCTCTCACTGTTCAAATAAACCTACCATTATAATTATAGACTGATAATTTATTTGTCAGTGGGCAAACGTACAAAATCAGCAGGGGATCAAATACTTTTTTCCCTCACTGTACGTCTGTATCTAGAGTTGATGGTCACTGACATACTATCTTGGCATAGGTCCGACAATAGCCCCTCATCAATTGTAGTATAATAATCGGATTCCCATCGCTCTCTTGATTTATGTACATCTGGTTTTGGCCATTGTTGCACTAGCAATGAGTACACTCTGGATATAAATCTATATGAATCATGGTTATCATGGAGTAGTTGTTCAATACCTGATAGATTTTGTAAAGTAATATCTCCAAGAGTGCTTCTGAGGACGTTTCAGTATGAAAATGTATGCACTCACTAACTGTAAGTCGCTCTGGATAAGAGCGTCTGCTAAATGACGTAAATGTAAATGTAAATGTTTCTTAACTGTAAATAACAAAATAAATGATTATTGGATAACTGGTATTTCTCTTTCAGTTGCTCAAATGACATAAGTACCCCATCTATACAACAATGTTCTAAATGCATTATTCCCTTCTCATGCCAATGTTGAAAAATGTTGCTATCCAAGATCATTGGCAGGAGTCTGTTTTGCCACAGGGGTGTTTTGGGTGACAAGTCGTTTCAGACCAAATAACTTACGTATTTCATACCAAGATCTTACTAAATTGATGGTACAGGGATTGCTTGTTTTTGTTGATATAGTCTTGGGGTTCCACTTGTAGATGATTTTACTCCCAACCTCTTTATTAAGAGGAAACAAATCCATCAGAGTCCAAGAAGGGGCTGGTTCAGTTTCAAATAAGAATGAAATGAATCTAATTTGCCCTGCCCAGTAATACATCTTGAAATTTGGTAGGCGGAGACCTCCTAGACTATAATCCCATGTTAATTTGTCCAGGCTCACCCTTGGAGTTTTACGGTTGCATACAAATTGTCTTATGGTCTTGTTAAGGGACTTAAAGAAACTCCCGGGTAGGGATATGGGTAAAGATTGAAATAGGTACATCATCTTAGGCAGAACGTTCATCTTAATACAGCTAATTCTCCCAAATAATGTAAGAGGCAGATCTATCCATCTATTCAAGTCATCCACCACCTTCTGAACCAAGACAGAGTAGTTAAGCTTGTACAAATGTCTTAAGTCATTATCAACTGTGATTCCTAGATATTTGAACCCCTGTGGTGACCATCTGAAGGGACCTGTTTGTTCACAGATGCTATAGTCAAAGCGAGTCAGTGGAAGTATTTCACTTTTGTCCATGTTGACGTTGTAACCTGATATAGAGCTGTATGTACCTCAAAAGTGTCTGTAGTTTTTAGAGGGATCCGGTCGGGTCAGAGAGGAACAAAATAATGTCATCTGCGAACAATGAGATCTTGTGCGTTATCTGGCCCACCTGAAAGCCCCTTATGCCAGGATCTGTTCTTATGGCCTCCGCCAGGGTTCTATGTCTATCACAAAAAGGAGCGGGGAAAGCGAACAGCCCTGTCTACTACCTCTAAAGAGTTGGAATGTGGCTGACATCATGCCATTAGTGGTGATCTTGGCTTGCGGTTTATGGTATGAAGTCTTAATCCAGTTGACAAAGAAGGACCAAAGTTACATTAGCAAGGACCTTGAATAGGTATGGCCACTCCAGCCTATCAAAGGCCTTTTCAGCATCTAGAGATACTGCTATACTAGGATCGCTCCTCACACTGGCCGTGTGAATTACGTTGAATGACCTGCACAAATTATTGGTGGAGGATATTTTCTGTATAAAGCCTGTTTGATCGGTGTTTGGCAAATATTGTCCTAATCTATTAGCCATCGCCTTAGAAATCGATTTATAGTCAGCATTGAGAAGCGAGAACAGCCTATAGGAAGAGCATTGTAGAGGATCTTTATTTTTTGTATGTATAACTGTTATAATAGCCATGGAAAAGGAGTCCGGTAGGCTCTGCGTCTCAGCAGCTAAATTTAGAACATCCATCAATAATAATATAATAATATGCCATTTAGCAGACACTTTTATCCAAAGCGACTTACAGTCGTGCGTGCATAAATGTTTGTGTATGGGTGGTCCCGGGGATCGAACCCACTACCTTGGCGTTACAAGCGCCGTGCTCTACCAGCTGAGCTACAGAGGACCATCAAGAGAGGAATAAGAGAGGAATAAGCAAATCCTTAAACTCCTTATAAAACTCTGGGGGAAAGCCATCATCTCCTGGTGATTTGCCGGATTGTAGAGAGGAAATTGCCTTTTCAATTTCTGTTTTGTAAAGGGGCGATGTAGTTAGTTTTGGTGTTCCTGTGTGAGGTGCGGTAGTTCAATAGTAGACAGAAATGTTTCTATCATTGCTGGTTCCGTTCCTTCAGAAGTGTATAACTTAGAATAGTATTGTTTAAATGAATCATTGATCTCTTCTGGGTTGTGAGACACTTATGTGTTTCAATAGAGTTGATGGTTCTCGAATTCTCCTCAGCTTTTATCTGCCAGGCCAAGACTTTGTGTGTTTTTCTCCCCCAATTCATATTATCTTTGCCTAGTTCTAAGAATAGCCTTTTCAGTTTTGTAAGTACTTAGGGTATTATATTTTAGTTTTATATTCACCAATGAGCGGTATGTTTCTTTAGAGCTAGATTTTTGGTGTTATCTTTGTAGTAATAGGATTTCCTTCTCTAATTCATTCAATTCAGCAGTGCATTTCTTTTTGAGACCTTTGGCATAGGAAATTATTTGACCCCTAAGAAAGGCCTTTAATGTATCCCAGAGTACAAAACTATTGGGAGAGGACGGACAGTTTGTTTCACATAAAAAAACGTAATTTGGTCTCTGATAAATTGACATAATTCTGCCTGTTTCAAAAGAGTTGGGTTTAGGCGCCATCTATAGGTCCCTTGAACTCCATCCTGCATCCAAACAGAAAGTGTGAAGGGAGAATGATCTGAGATAGTTCTGGATAAATACTCAGTTTCCACAACTCTATGGGTTACCTGTGCTGATAGGAGAAAATAATCAATCCGGGTATGAGAGTTATGCGGGCAGGAGTAGAATGAGTGCATTTGGCTGACTTAGTCAATGAGGTTGCTTTAGTTGAGGATCTATCCAGAATCGGATCCAGACAAAAATTTAAGTCACCCCCAACTAAGAGTGTTCCCTGAAATTCTGCTACCTTGAGGAATGTATCTTGAATATAATTATGATGATCATAATTAGGTGCATATACATTAAGCAAGGTCCAAGATTCAGAATACATTCTGCCATGGACCACTACATAACGTCCCAGTGGATCAATAATTGTTTTCATTACACAGAAGGGTAAATTGTTA